CTCTTCTATCATCATTGTCAAAGCCAAGTTAAAATGGGGAGATAATACAGAAGCCGTGTCGTTTCAAAAAACTAAAGTTTTAAATTAAAAATAATTCTTACAATGAATTAAATATCATCTACTGTTACGAATGTACTTTTTTAAATTAATAATCTTCAATTAGTTGTTTAGATTTTTAAAAAATTTGGGTTGAAATCCATAAATCAGTTCTTCAGAAAAAAGAAAGATGGCTTTTTTTCCCATTTTATATACAATTAAGAAAACCGAAAATGGAGATTCTTGAGAACTTTATTATGCAACACATCTTGGACTCACCTGTCTAAGAGAATTCTATTTACAAAATATTTCACCAAACAGAAGGAATTTACTTTAATGAAGAAGGGGAGAAAGCTTCGCTGAAAATCAGTGATTTAAAATTTATAATTATGTCAGCAAAGCTTTCTGATAGCGTAAAAAGTAAAATTTGTGTTATGTAAGTAATAATTTTAGAAAATAATGTTGTAAGTTTATGTAAATACTTGTCTTTATTTGATTGTATTTTTTCTGTACATTTTTAACCATTTACCACCATGTAAATCGCACTATAACTTTTTCCTGAACTATAACTTTTTTCTGTTAAAGAATGTCTCAATATTCTGAAAGAGAACAGCTGCCAACAGAAAATACTGATATCTGGCACCAGTAACAAAAATGCATCTTAAATTATGCCCTCCTCTTAGTTAGGCTTTTATTTAAATTACTGTAAAATTTTCATGAATGATATTTAAACAGAAATTCCAGAAAGGAAGTTAGAATTTTCTAGCACAGCAAACTATGACTGCTTCACAAAATAGAGGCGAAAACGTCTTGACGTGTCTAACTATGAGAAATCTACATAACTGCCACCACACGAGAAAATCACTGGAAATATCACTGAGTGAAAAAAGGAACAAGTATGCGAAGACTAAATTAATTACGCGCTCTAACATAAAGAATTTATGCGATATAATTAATCATCCAAAGAATCATCAAGTTATTTAAGGTACTGCGATTATTTTTGCACTCGACGTCAATCTTACTAAGAATATGCGCAGTACACATAACAATTAAACTCTATAGCATGATTAAACTAAAGAAATGTCTGAAATATTGCAATTGTAGTGTAATTCTCGTAAAATTCTCTAAATAGTTATCTTCAGAACGAACAGAAACTTGGTACGTTTCGAAAATAAGGCTTTTTAAATTAGATTAATTCAAAGAACCACGTTTTTCGAAATAATCAATAATAATTTTCGATACTGTCCTCCGATAAGACACATATCAAATACATAAGATTAAGATATATATGCAATTTTATAATCATAAACAGACACTTAACACTTCTCGTGATAAATGCAGCAGAAAATTCATTGTTTGAAATGCGAGGTATTAAAATCTCCAAAATTGAACCTTAATGGCATTTTCATTAGTTCTAGATTCTTTCATGCAAATGCATGCTGATAAGGGAAATTTATAAAGCATCTGGCAAAATGACTTGAAAACAAGGTAGTAAAAACAATATAAAAATAAACAAGGTAATAAGCACAGTGTCAAAAACAACTGGGGAACGAAGTAATAAGTACAATACAAAGTAAAATTACATTCTACATCAGTTTAATAGATCGGATGCATGAGTGTTTCGTACTACAGCAGCCTAGGAAATATTTGAAACCATTCTAGCTGGTTTACTGAAAAAAATTAAAATTTACCCAGTCATTATATAATGCACGGAATTGCACAGACAACATTTTTTTCTTTTCTTAAAATAAAATCTTAAAATTCAGAAAAATCTGTGAAAGATATTAGGTACAAGGTATGAAAGGCATAGGGCATTCTTTCCCTCATGCCCTTCCCTAATTTCAGCATGCCTCCGTGGTATAACTGGAAACACGTCCGATGTGTAATCGGGAGGTCCAAAGTTCGAACCACGGCGAGGGCACTGCACAGTTTTCATGTTCCGTCATCGATATAACCTAATGATTCAAGTGGCGTCAAAACTGAAAACGTAGTGGACGATAATTCGTCACCACCAGGAGTTGGCGACTGGGTAAACTTATCCACAGTAAGGATAGTATATGAGGTACCAGAAGCAGGGGCTGGTACCACTGAAGCAGGGGCAGCCCGACCCACTTAACCAAACAAATTGGTCTTATGGCCATAATAATAATAGGCGACGCCATTTTTTCCTCCTCTCCGTATGCTTTCGTGGAGCACCCGGAAAGACGTCCGACACGTAATCGAAAGGTCCGGATAGGGAAGGGAAGTTTTTCGTGCTGCGCGGTGATGGCATTTCGAAAGAATTCCAAAATCGCTTAAATTCACTTGTATGATTGAATAATTCATAAAAGTGAATCATACATTACCACTTATATGATAACGCCTGTGTTGAAGCATGATTTGAAAAAGGTGATTACTAAATTTGAAGAGACTGGAGAGTTTTGGGTACAGCGAGAAAAGGATAGAAACGAATTTCAAATGGAAATTTGAAATAAGTCCTTGCAGTCTTCAAAAGAGCATCCGGTTCCCAGTATTCTTCGATAAGTGCTCAAGCGGTGTCACGTGATTTGTCTCTCCTTTGTTCAATAGTACGAAAGGTAGCCATTGTAAAGTGGTATTCACGCAACATTTAAGTTTTGCAAGAGCTGCGTCCTACAGACCCGGACAAACGCACTGATGCTGCTAGCCTTCATTTTTTCAGTATAGTGGAATACTCAAAATTGTCGCATAAAAGGGTACTGCAAGTCCTAATGTTGTACATAAACGGTCGCTGCATCCTGATTACATTACTGTATGATATGGCTTTGCTTTTGATTTCATTCTTGGTCCCTTTTTCTCAAAGGAGAACACTCCGCAAGGCCCTCAAACCTCAAAAGTGTTCCATCACAGATGGCTCATTACTGCGAACTTCTTCGAAAGCAAGTCACTCTTGCCTTATAAGAACGAGAAAGTTTAGGGCCTGCTGTCTTCACCTAAGGTAGTGCACCACCTCACATCACAGGACCAGTGAAGGCACTGCTTCATACCACTTAGGAGGCGATCGAATAATTTTGAGAAGTTTTCCGACTGCCATCCTCCTGGACTTGAATCCCTGTGACTTCTGGTTGTGGGGATTCTTAAAAGATCATGTCTATGGATGAAGCATACGGTCTATGCCTGACACGGCACGTTCCTGCAGTTGATGTAGAATCCCTCTGCGCTACTGTTAAACACCCTATAACACGCTTTGAACGTGTGATTGCCACAAATAGAATACAAACTGAACAAATTCTATGATTAAATAAAGTTTTACGTTTTTTGTTCTCAGTGTACTCCCTTCTCAGCTGGGGGTCGAAATTTGATTGTCAGTTTCTACTGATAAATAGTTTTTATTGTTATTTTCTTTTCCCCGTGGTCCATAACAACGAATATACCAAGTTTCAACTAAATAGGTGTATCAAAACGGGCTCTACGTAAGTCTAAGTAGGGTAAATTATTACCACCCTGTACTACTGCGTGGATAATCTTAGTAATCTACCAACCATAAACTGATGTAAAATAAAATTAAACACAAATATTTATTGATCAAACATTGGTTGAATCTTCATAAAAGGTTCTACAAATGTTTACAATAGATTACGTTAATTCAAACCAAATTAAAATTCAATAGAAAAATTATGCTGGAGATCACTGAAGCGGGGAAATAAATTTTATAAAATTTAAATTTCATTATTAAGTTTTATTTATCTCTGAGAAACATTTTCTTTAGCAAATTCCCCTACTAAGGGCTTAAAAATTAAAAAATGGGAGATTAGGTCATCTACAAGGAAGGTAATGAAAAACCGGAATCTCCCGATAAAACAGGAACACTTGGCATCTTTGTAATACGTAATGAATATCTTATCTCTAACATCGTATTTTTATGCAAAATATTTCTTGGCAGATATGCACTTTTCCTATGGATTTTCCTTTTCAGAATACACCTTCTGATTAGCTTTGCTCAGACTGTAAATGTTTTGCGCCATTTCACATGAAGTGGTGGATGTTGAAACCTTTAAAATAGGTATTATAAGTGTAAAAAATTATATATTATCTTTACTGAAGAAATATAACTAATGTGCGTTTGCAAAGGAAATACACCAAAATTTAAAATTAGAAAATTCAACTTATGATTGAGGTTGGTTTCATAGAAAAAATATATGTGTTTCGAAGAAACTATAAGAAGGAATAAACTAAGTTGCACATCCCTTAACCATTCTGTTAAATTCAATGCACCTAAAATTATAAAAAAATACTTCCTCAATCGGTAAATTAGATACTCTTAAAGCCTTCTCCATTTAGCAAAACCTATCAACTTATATTAATGATTTTAATTAAAATCTGTTTTTAATATCATTTAAAACCTTTATTGCACAAGTTATAACCTCCTTTCCTATTTTACTCAATAAGCGGCGTTAGAACTGCTGCTTCCTTTATTATCACTTGCTTGTTTAACCTATTTAAATATATATTTTCTATAAACACGGAATTATTTTGTTCTTTCATGAAGAGAGATGTGTGTCAGGCTCTCTCGAAATTCGTGGAATTTTATTATTAAAGCCAATTTAAAGTTCAATTCTGGATTTACATAGTATTTTAAATATTCAAATAAAAATAAATATCGAGGCATAATTAATACGCTATTTGAATTTTATCAGTTATCAGTTCTGAAGATTGATGACTAGAATGACCAAATATAACTCTCATGTATGGTTTTAAATTTTAACATAAAATATTATTTAAATTCCTAAACCAAATAATTCTTTTTCCTTCCAGTTAGTCAGGCTGTTATTTTCTTCATATATCCATTCTCTGAATACTTTATCATAAATCATGAAATGAACTCTATATTGGTGTCATGTAAAATCTGCATTCCCTAAATGAAATCGATTAATATTTATTTGGCAGAAATGATATGAGAAAAAAAAAAGAAAGAAACAGACAAAAGAGAGAATGAGAGAGAGAAACATGTTCAAAGGGTTTTATTTTTACAAAATGCATCTTATAGCACAAATTTCGCTCAAAGTTCAAAATAACTATCATACAACAGTTGAACATACACTAGAACATTTAGTGTGTTTCACAACAAAGCGAAAATACATCAGAAATATGTAAATAGCAAGAAAAATCCATTCCATACTTTCAACAAATAACATGAGTTTTCTAAAATTGATATTTAATTTTCAGTTCCTTTTCATAACAAACCACCGCCGTTAGAGGGAAAAACGCGAAAAACGAAACTAAGCAGACAAAGGATAACTATCAGTCATGAAAAAGAAATGTTCTAAGGCTTGAAAGGAAAACAACTTGCCGCTTTGAGAACTTATATTCGAAGAAATATTCCAAAGGAAACCATTCTCCAATTCTAGAAATTGAGAGTACGTAAAAAACGCTATATCGTGACCGAAATTCTTTTAAAAATCTGAGCTAATTTTAGCAAGTTATCATTTAACATGTTAGGACTCGTATCACCTCCTTTAGAAGATATGAGTCTAAAAATTGAAGCATACTCGTGTTCTCGGAACCTCGGTCCTTCTTCAACAATCTGATTCAGTATCTCATTATAACTGAAGTTCAAAAGATCAATATACTGTTTAGCTCTCTCTAATGATAACTCTCTAGTAAGTATTATATTACCCAGACAGCACTGTAAAATAAAAATGGCACGATGTATTTTCTGGAATAGATTATCGCTGATTTTGCTCAGATTTGCAATATTCAATATAACAATTGATGCTAACAGTTCGCCAACGCCCTCAAATATATATTTCAGTTTGTTTGTGGATAAAAATGGCATTAGCGTTTCATCTATCTTTAAGAGATCTGAAGACAAATTTTGTACAGAATTCACCAATTCTTGGTTAAGACTATAATCTGTGGCTGGATCACGACCAGAGAATGCTAGAAGGTAATAAAAGCAGTGCGCTCGTACCTCTAAATGAAGTGTTAGCAGACACACGTCCGCCAAATCATCGTACTCTTTAGCTAACTTTTTCAAGCCCATCATTATCAATGAAATAGTTTCAACATCAATATCTTTCGATTCTTCACTAGTAACGGCGACAGAATCCTCAAGTTCAAAACCTTTTATTAAATTAAAGATCTTGGGTGTAAACCATTCTAAACTTTCCTGCAGAAGAGACAGGTAAGTTAGTTTGTTGGGATCGCTAATAATTTCCCAAGAAGACAGCTCTTCCGAATGCAGATTTCGAATAAGCAATTCCGATTCTTCTTTATTTCTTAAACGAATTTCTTCCGGTGATTCTATAATATCATTTGAGTCCCCACCTTGCATGTACTTCCAGTTTGAAAAGGATTTTAGAAGGCGTCTTATGTCTGGATCTCTGGCCCATGAAGCGCTGAGTATGGTCTGATCTTCGCCAATTAAACTTTTAAATGCTTTGTGAACTAACTCTTTGTAATCTAAAATTATATAATGCATAAGGTGTAAAAAATGGTTGGCGTAATCTGGCAGATAAGTTATTAAATCTTGCAATTCTTTTAAGGAATTACTTAAGATTAAAGTACTGCTTAGAATCTGTTTTTCTGTACCAGCTTTTGATGTAAAATTTTCATTAATTACTACAACTTTCCACGCTTCCATTGTATTTGAAAGACTCCCGAAAACTCTGTTGACTTCACTGCTCACTTGATCTAAAAATAAACTAGCGCAGTCAGACAAAAAGACATGTAACGGGCAATATATGCCTGGCTCCAACTGCAATGATTTCTCTATTTCCGTAATGAAAGATTTAAGGGGACGAAATATAAAAACAATGTTTCTAAGCGCTGGTTTGCATACCATTGTCATTTTCCTGGAGTCATTCTCAGACCTGTTAGTTTCGTTTCCTCCTTGGATTTTCTGGGTGTCCAAGCCCAATTCGGGAGAGGAATTGCTGAAGCTAAAAAGCACAGGTTGTTTATTTTCGTAATGCTTCTTCGGCAGAAAGAACGACGACCAATCGCATACATTTTCAGAATTAGAAAGGAAAGAAGTATTTCTGCGAAGTGACGTTGTTGAAGGCTGGAGTTCTAAATACCGACCTATGAAATGTTCAACAGCGGTTTGAATTTGTGAATAAATATCGTCTATCTGATAAAATCCTTCAAAAGCATCTGATTCTTTCATAACACACAAAAGCATTTTGTGATTTAATAAGATCTGCCTAAAAATATCCAAAATTACTTCCAGCAAACCGACCATATATGAATATTGCTGTTCACTGGGTAAATCTAGTACCGGAATATCCGAAGATTTTTTAATATAATCATATGAAAATATAGACGCCTTTTTAATGATATTCAAAAATTCTTCGCCGCATCGTTCCTTTAAAAATTCAGCTGTTTCTGGTAACTTCTTTAAAACTGTAATACAATGCAAAAGGGTAGCAACATGTGCCAAACCAAAATTTTCTTCACTTACGCATCTTGTAAACGCATTCACAGGAGATTCATGGCAATCAATTTCGCCATTCGTTACATTCATCTGTTCCTGAAACTTTCTAAACGCACCATCGAAAGCTGATGCATATAATTCCTGGCGTAACTCATCTAAAATTACGGAATACATTTTTTCTTGGAGGCGATACAACTCTGACTTTATATCTTTAAGACCATCGGTATTACGAAAGTCTTCGCTTTCCATAAGCTTTAATGAAGATGCGAGAACATCCGTGGCCTGCAAGAACTTTTTATCATGCAAGTCGTTATTTATGTCTCTCAGAACATTTCTTAGATTGTCAATTTGTTCTAGCATTTTGTGAGCACACTGGTGCTGAAGAGATTCTAGCCAAAGTTTCCGCAGATCATCTTGCTTACATTGAAGCTTCTCTTTGCAAGCCAATATTCGTTCTTTCAGTGAGCGGCATTTGAACTTAGCGACTGCCACCAACTGAATTGTTTTACTGCTAGTTTCCACAACTTTTGATATAATTTCTCGATTTTCCTTTACGAGTTGATCGAGCCTAGCATTGCATACATCAAAGCGCTCCTGCACCCTTGCTCGCGTTCTATGTCTGTCCCCATCGCTTTTACTGTAGGACAATTCAGCAATCAGAGCTGGCAATCTTTCATACGCCATCGACCGGGCTTCAGCACTTGCCGAGATGAGAAAGCTGTTTTAAACTTGATTGTTTATTCCTGTATAAACAAATAATTTATATTAATTGACACCAAGTGCTTCAGTGACTGAGAAACCTACACTATTTTTTCATGCCAGGAAGTTCTTATGCTGACCAAATATTTAAACAATCCGTATTTAGTCTATAAATTTGAACATAAAATACGGCATAACCTTGGCCAAAATAAGAACAAAATTGGGAGATATCTTGATTAGTTGCATCACTATAGAGACATTGAACGCTCGGAGGAGGAATTAAATAAAAGCGCATGCTTTTCTTAAAAAATAGCAAATCAATATGAACACAACCCAATTAAGTGGCATGCAAAAAAACCATGCTGTTCTAAGAAACATTATGCAAAAAATTCATCAAGCCACTGAGAATTTTCTTTAGCATCAACTGGCTAAAGAAAATCAAAGATAAATTAACAGTTCCCAGTATTTAAGTCCAAAGATAAATTAACAGTTCCCAGTATTTAAGTATGTTGCTTTTCTGAACAGTGAAACTGAATATGTGCAGATGCACTGCAAAAAATGGAAATAAATTAACCAAGTCACAAACTACCTTCAGCATTCGTAAATCTTTAACTACATCAAACTATTTCAATTTTAACTGCGTGACAACACTTAAAATAAACTTCTGTGTTATAATAATGGCTGATTTGTTAACGCTAGGGTTAGATTAATACAAACATATTTCACCTTTTAACTTCACTTCATAACTTATGCAAACTTATTTATAAATATCTATCTAAAGCATAATTTTTAAAACGCAGTTTCTAACCTGCATTAAAAATTTCGTTACAGATAAATACGAAATCAAATAATAAACTACAGGATTTCAAATAAAGATACAAATACTTCATATTCTTTTATTAACAGGCTAGTAAACATTTCCAATTAGCATTGCTCCCATGATAAGCAACAGATTCAAGTGCTGATTCAGAAGTCAAACAACAAAAATCAGCGTTAATTCACAAAATTTTCACAGGACTAGTTTCGATGGTTTTACCGAACCATCATCTTCAGCTCCAAAACCGCAAATGAACAAGAAAATCACACTTTCAATTTTTCTGCTGCCAAAATTATTCAAAAAACATCTTCCATTGGAGAACTGGATTTTCTAGAGGCATTTCACATTCATAAAAATCTTTCTGTTCTAGTTAACGATCCTAATTCCAATCCAAATTTGCCTTCGGCTTTTAGAGAAATTATGTTTTAGTTCTGGTTTCGCCAACAGATGGCGCCACTTGCTTATTCTTGTCCAGGCTTTCTTATCTTATCTAAACATTATTTCCTATCTTGTTCATTTGCGGTTTGCAGCTGAAGATGATGGTTCGGTAAAACCATCGAAACTAGTCCTGTGAAAATTTTGTGAATTAACGCTGATTTTTGTTGTTTGACTTCTGAATCAGTATTTATTCGGCGTGTTATTGTGTCTTAATAACAGATTCAAGCTTCAAGATCAAAAAGGTTTTATAAGAGATTTAGTCTGATGAAAACTAGAATACATATGAATCTGTGTTACAACTCTAAGTTTATTCGTTATTAGAGAAAACGAAACTATCCCGTTTAGCAAGAGATGTACGTAGCCATTTTCCTAAAAAATACAATATTTATGAAACTTGGTGGTAAAACTCTTACACAAATACAACAGCAGAGAAAATTTTTATTACCTTATTTCTTTCAGTAAATACGCTGGTGTTCAAAATTAAGAGAATTTTCACACTCGATCGATTATCTCCAGAACCGATGGGCAAACTATTAACGAAAATATGGACATAGCTTGATATAACACAAAACAAATGTTATACAACAGTCATGGTATACGCATGATCGTGCGTGGGAAAGTAGACATCCCTAACAGTCATATAGATTACATAACGTGACTTCATACTGGAAATGGGGCACATTATCAGTCCCTGTAGCAGTTGGTCTCTCTACAGCAGCAACGCTCTTTTTAGGTTCTGGATGGCTCGGAGGAATGGATAGCTAGTTGCCCTTTTTTTCGTAAGAACGTTCAAGACATATTCTTTTTCGGGTCTGGAGATTTAGCTGACCAAACCTTCCGGTTCAGAAAATAAATCACCATATTAGCCCTACGTAGAAGAGCATAGTCGTCCACAACAATTAACTGAGGGCCAATTACAACTCTAAAAAAAACGAAAACAGGGCTCTAAGATCTCGTATCCTTGCAATAAAACCTGCTTTTTCCGTGCCACACGACAGCTCGTTCAGTATGATGCAGAGAATACAGATTTGAGACCAAACAACAATGGGCGACCGTTTTCTTTACACATCGGCCCCAGTGCAGGCTAGCCTCTGATACTCGATGCATATTCATCTGCAGAGAACAAGGAACCCACCGCCTGCCCTGCACCCAAGAAAGGGACCAGTTTGGCAATAGAGATTTAATGGTAGGCATTATATTGGACAGGCTCACAGATCTGTGTGACTTCTATGTCCTTGGTCTGCAAGATGAAATATCCGCCTGTCAATAATTAATGGATAGCATCTTTTTTTATACTAAGATAATTGTAAATTTTATATGTGTTACTAATACCAGCTGTCAAATGTTTTAGAAAAGTTTTTCTAATTGATCTGCGTGTGCTAAGAAAGACAAGCTAAATGAAATTAATTAATGTACATGCGACTAATCCTAAATTTCCCAAAAATGTAAATCCTAGAAATTTCTCCGATCTCTCGAACCCTTCACATATTATTACAATGAGAAGAGTCAAAACGTTTTGCTTATTTTTAGAAGTTTTTAAATAAAATACTACTTAAAATCTGCGTTTAATAAAAGAAATTAAGAATACGTATTTTAAAAATACAACTATACTTTTTAACATGTAAATGAAAGTCAATATATTATGTGCATAATTACAACTTTTGACGGTAAGTTTTTTAACATAATTTGAAATAAAATATTTGAGAAACAGTTGTAATTTTTTATTTTTTAATGAAAGCAAATGTAGGAAGAAAAGGATTATTTCAAGTTTTAAAAGGTAAATATTAAATTAAACACTAAATTCTCTCCAGAATATTGACAGTGCTGCAATGAAGGTCGCCACAAAATGACATAAGTGTTTCAAAGTGTATTAAAACTGCTACAATTGCGCTCCCCTTTTTTTTTAAAAAAAAAAGAAGGCTTCTACTGGAAATAAATAAAATATATCTTTTCAAAGTCTAATGATTTAAGGATTCGAAAGATGTGAACAATGTAAAGCGTAAGATTCCAGTTTCCAAATTTCGAATCTTTCGCAAAATTTCTGGGAGGGTTCGAATATGCTGTACCTGTTAATGCTATACCTGTTAATTAGAAAATGAGCCACAAATCAACCATAAGAACCGGAATTACGTAAAACTTGCAAGACGCATTTCAAAATCCATTCTTCTTTGTCCATTCGATCTTTTCTGAAAGACACAAATCTTTAGCCGCCCAGACGGTATAAGTGGGTAGAAGGAGCCCACCGAATGACCCGGGTTCGAATCCCAGAGAAGGCATGGATCTTTGTAAATGCATAGTGTCTTGGCGACATGAGGGCACTCTAAATATATGGTGAGCCGAAAGTCCTCTCGTATGGATTGGTGGTAGGGGAAGAGAGGTGGGAGACCCTCGGACCACCCCTCGAAATGCTCTTTCTCAAAACTGGGGTTGAAATAGAAATCCAACCTCCTTGAGGCTCTGACAACCATTCTTCCATGAAATTCACAGATAAAACAACAACACAAATCTTCAGAACAGTATAAGGTATTTTTTCACTACTTTCGGCAAGCCTTTGTGCTGTAACGGTAGCACACTTAGCGCGTATTCGAGAGGTCCAGGGTTCAAGTCCTGGCGAGGGCACTGCTCATTTTTCACATCCCCTGCTATAAAAAAATCCTTATGTTTCTACAACGGAACTTACAGATTTAACATATATTGTGCCAATATACACTCTTTTTTTACATCTATGTATATTTTATGCTAGTAAATAAATAGTAACACAATTTATTATCAATATTTAATTTAACGGTAATAATTAACGGATTTTCTTAATCTTCTTTTTGGTGCTCCTAAAATACAAAAATAGTCGGCAAGTTTTTTTTTTTTTTTTTTTTTTTTTAATTTTTGCCATCATGTAAACATTTTCCACAACATTTAGAGACAAAACTCCACATATAAGTGGACCAGCATGCTTCAGCATTCATGTGAACGCTATTTCAAGAGGGAACAAAAACGAACTTGAGGTATATCTACACTTTTTTCCCAATAAAACAAATATTTTGATAAATATTATGAACATATTTAACTTTCAGAGATACATTTTTCTTGCGAAAAAAATTAGTTCATCTTTTAGAACATTTTGTTTGGGTGATAATTTCAGTAAACCTTTCAATCAGCGAAAAAGAGCACTACGACATGTATCGTCGAGTGTAATACAGAAAAACAGATTTCAAAGAACCTGGAAAATGAAAAGTCGTTTAGAGAAGAAATCGATAATTATTTGAGGGAAAAAGTGAGACAGGGAGAGAAAGAGAGATAAGGAATTTTATGAGAGAGCTCAGCAGACGGTCACTGATCTCGAGATAAAAGCTGTCTGGAAACTCAAAAAAAATAAATAAATAAAATAAGATTCGTTTCCCGGATCGTTTCGAAATCCCGTAAATTTCGGAAAGGTCTGCAGATACCATATCTTCGGTCGTCGACAGACCGAGAAAGAGAGAGAGCAAAAGAAAAATAACAAAATGCAATATCTCCTAAACATGAAACTTTACTTTATTTATGTGTTTTTTAATAGCAAAGAAAGTCTGGAGGAATTACTCCGTCTGCAAACAAAAATTAATAACATGCCGTTTATGAGATTGAAACATTTTTACTCGGGATTCTGTCAATTTATTTGCTTAAAGAAAATCGCAACAAAACTTTATTGCCATATGCTAAGAGCAGTTCACTGGATACAGTCTCAGATAATTTTCAAAGCATGAGTCGCAGTAAATATTGAAATTAGAATATATTAATATTTTATCATCGCTA